GCCCGCCCGCCCGCCACCACCGCACCTGCACCCGCCCCGTCCTCACACACCTCCTCTGTGTGTGTGTATGAGAGAGTGAAGTGTGTGAGTGTGAGAGAGTGAAGTGTCCAGTGTGTGAGTGAGTGTATGTGTGGCTCAGTGAGTGTGCGAGTGTGAGTGCGAGTGTGTGACTGAGTGAGCGTGAGAGCGTGTGTGAGTGAAGTGTCCAGTGTGTGTGTGAGTGTATGTGTGGCTCAGTGAGTGTGCGTGTGTGAGTGCGAATGTGTGTGTGCGTGAGTGTGAGAGCGTGTGTGAGTGAAGTGTCGAGTGTGTGTGTGAGTGAAGTGTGCCAGTGTGTGTGTGACTGAGTGAGTGTGAGTGTGTGCAACTGAGTGTATGTGTGTGATTGCATATGTGAGTGTGTGTGAGTGAAATGTTTGAGTGTGTGTGCATCTGAGTGAGTGTGTGTGACTGTGACTGTGTGATTGTATGTGTATGTGCGTGTGTGTATAAGTGTGAGTGACTGAGTGTGTGTATGAGTATGCTTGTGAGTGTATGTGTGTGTCAGTGACTGTGAGCGTATGTGTGAATGAGTGTGTGTGAGAATGTGAATGCGTGTGTGTGTGTGTGAAGGTGCGAGTGTGCGCGCGCCTTGCAAACGAGTAAGCAGCATGTAGATGGCATGCAGTAACGCAAGGCGGGAGGAGGGGGCCGGGGAAGAAGCCCTGCATGCTGAAATCATTAGGTTAAAAAAAAAAAGTCGCAGGCTTCCCCCGCTGTGGAAATTTGGAAAAGAGCATCCACTGGCAGGCGGGAGAAAGGAAAATCCCGTTCTGCTAAATTACTAACAGACTCGGCGGGTCCCATTTCAGCCGCGCAGACTTGTTATTCGCATTTTGATCCGGGCTTGCCCCTCACTCCCGCAGCCCCACGCGTGGGTCCCGTCGGCCCGCGGGGGCAGCAGGCACCAGCCCTCTCTCCCCGCACGCCCCGCAGGCGGACGGCAGAGGCGGCGGGGCCCTCCGCAGTGCGGGGAGAAGCAGACCTTCGACCGGGAGGGGGGGGGCACTCTCCTGCCCACTGCAATCCCTCCCCTCTCCCTCTGCCCCCCACAGCTGGCCAAAGGGGACGGGCACTTTCCCCATGGGAGCTGGACAGCAGCAAATGGAGACTCAGGGCTGTTAAAATATCTGGTGTATGAGGAAAAAAAAAAGACTCATAAATCTATCACATGACACCCATATGTGGTTTAAAATAAATCCCAGACAAACGAAATCCTGGCTGCTTCTGGGGAACAGAAGAACTTCTTGGGCACAAGTCACTGCACGGAATCGCAGTTGAAAACCCTCCACGGCCAACACTGCGCCCAGAGGGAGGGCAATATCCATCCCCCTAATGAGGGGCTGCCCCTTCAGGCACAATTTCTTTCAAGGAGACTCCTTCTTTCCAGGATCCAAAGGCTTTCGGTACCTGCACCTGAAAAACTCCAGGGGACCAAAGGCTTGCTCACTCCAGGAGCTGGGTCTGGCAGGAAGCTGCAACCACATTAACTCAAGGATCAAGGTGTTCGGCACATCCTGAGGCTTCCTGCATCACGTGTGTGCCAGGGGTTGTGCCTGCATGTGTGTCTGGGGGGTGTCTGCATTGCAAAACACTTCACAC